ACCATCAGTATTTTTGACTTTAAAACGTTGATAGTTATTTTATATTCTATATTATTTATATATATGCGCATACATACTTACAAATACTACATTTCATAGTTTCAGTAGCCACATTTTTATAGTTTCAATATAACAGTTAACCACTCCTTACACTTTTTTCATCATAAAATTTTGAATATTACTTTTCATATGACATACTCTTACTTACTACAGTCCTCTTCTCCCAGTGGAGCATAGGGCCTCATGATATATTTTTACTACACTGTAACTAATTTTAGGAGAAATGTAATCTTTATTCATTTGTTATAATAATCATAAATTTACTATTTTATTTTCGTACTATGCGGTGATGGATTACACACTTGATGAAAGTATATAGCGCTATTAAGAAAATATATATTTTATGTACGCGTACATCTGAAGTACTTTTACTGTCGTCGATCTAAAGATTTTATTGTATTTAAATGTGGTAGTTCAAAACTCTTGTAGGAAGCGAGTCAATGAAGAAAACTGTTAGCAAATTAAAAGTAGATTTAAAATAAAAAAAAAAGTTGCAAACAAAAGAGAATTAAAATTTTATTAGAACATAAAAAAGTTGTTGAAGAAAAATTTATGAATCGAATAAATTTGAATCTTAAATATAAAATCACAAGAAATAAAAGGAATCACCAATTAAATGCAACACAGTTTGAAGCTTCCAGGTAAGACAAAATCTCAAGACTAAAGTCAGAGCGAAGGTATCATTAACGACAATTAATTGCCAGTAAGACAGTAAGACATTGTAATGAGAAGTATTGCCTCAATCTGCAACAAAGTAATTCGATGTTTAAAGAGTTTTAGGAGAATTGAGTCTAAAGGACATTTACAAATAAAATTAAATTGCTGGTTTGACTGCCAGGCAATGAGATACACTGTTCCCTTAATTTACTACAAAGTATGGTATTCATGCGGATTACGGTATAAAAGGCATGCTCTAAACTGACTACAAGCGCCCATAGCTCAACCACAGGTCTTCGGTTATAACGCAGTTTCTTTGTGAAACTATGGCGAGTGTGGTTAGGTCTTTGTGTAGCACTAACATTTGTTGTTGTAGTCAACAGAGAAATGTACAGGTAGAGACTATTTAATAAAAATGCTCATATTTCAGAATGAAGTTGTTGTGCCATGGATGGCGGGCGCATGCTTTTAACCATAAATAAAGCGTCTTTAAGTCTTATGAGTGGAGTTGGTGTGTTGGTTGTTGCAATAAATGGCATTTCTGTGGCGCTCACCATGAAGCCATCCATCGTTTCATGCGATATTTACGCAGTGCTCTGATGACGTTGCTCAAAAAGGAGATGATAGCATACTCGAAACATATTTCGCAATGACTTTAAGCTTCCTTCAATTGCTTAAATGGCGCATTATAATTACACCTGCCAGCGGATACAACATGAAATACTGTGATTTATGGCAATAATGTTTAGAATTTATGCTGGCTTCATTATTGATGCGAACCTGCAGTAAAAATTATTCAAACGTACGAGTATATGAAAATATGCATGATTTTAATATATGCGTATTTGTTATAAAAAGCTTTCATTTTTTATTAATTCTTGGGATGCATGGGAAAATTCATTTGAATTTAGAAATTTTAATTTTATAACTGAAGTACTCATAAATTATCGATTATTTGCGGTAGTATCTGGAATGAGTTGTAATTTTGGTAAGAATGCAACCACATATACTTTATAGATACAATGCTCTTTAATTACCCTTCGTCTTCGTTTCTTAACTAATATACTCTGATTACTCAGAAATATGTTATTTTGGTGAAACACATGTACGCATTTTCTTTACTTTACATATACTATTAGACTGCCAAATTTGGATGAACTAAAAAAGTTCTTTAGGCATAAACCAGTCAAATGAATCATAATTGATTATTTATGCTTATTAATATCAGGTTTCAGCAATTAAAATTGTTTTAAAATTTTTACGTATACTTCGAAGAAATTGTTAATTTATTCAAATGCTAGTAGCATACTGAGTGCTAAAGTTTCAAATATTTTTCTATAGGCAAATTACGAAATAAATTAAACCAAAAATTGGAAATAACAAGAAAACATTAATTTAGCATAATTAAAGCTTTGGTTTGAGTTTATAAATCAACTGCGGGCTATAATGTGGTTTCCTGAGCTATTCTTCATGTTTACTTCGGAACGCCTTCAAGTGCCAAAGATCAAACTGTGCTAAGTAAAAAGTGCGAATTTAGATTTCAGTAATAAAAAAACAAAGATGTTCGTTAAGGTCATTAGGAATAATGTGTGCGTACTGCGATATAATTGATTTGATTTCAAAACTACTCATATATATTCAAAACTAGATAAAGTCCAATCAAGCCAGGCCCTTCAACCTTTTGAAGTAAACACCTAAACACCCGCTATGGGAACTTTTACTTATTCGTAAAACACAATTATTGTCATTATTGTAGTGTTTCAGTAATTACAAGCAAATGAGTATAAAAATAATGTCTAAAATAAAAACTCTATAAATATTTTTTAAAAAGCCTTCAAAGTAATAAATCGCCATTTAACTAAAAGTTTGTATCTGTGATCATTAGCACTACCGCAGCACACTCAAAGCTATTAAAGTCGAAGTTTGCCGCCTCCGATTTGTTACGTTTTTAACTTTTAATTTGTTTTGCGAATTTTTCATAGTAATTTTTCATGTTTTTTTTGTATGTTTCGTTTGTACTTTATTTATGATATTAACTTTTATAATTGCTTGTTCATTGGAAGATACTTCAAGCACTTTTACAAGATTACGACATTTTTCTTGTACGGATAGAGGAAAAAATTGATTTGCAGCTTCAATGATGAGTTTGCTTAATGTACAGCATGAGTTTGGGATATTCTTGAGGCTGAGATTGCTTTTATAATTTGCTATTATTCTTTAAAAACTCAGGCATTACTTAATAAATTCACTTTTAATATTTTGATTTTTGCTTGTAATCGCTTTTGAAGATATTAAATTCTATTAATGAACTTCTTTTTCTATAGAACTAGCCGTCTTGCTGGCACAGTGGGTGGCGGCTATGTGGCAAATACAAATAGTTTTGCTTGTCATCGCATTTGACCGAGAAGTTCTTAGTATTGACAGGCTCTGCTCTTATAAAAGAAAACTTTTATTCATTTGGAAAAAGTGAATTAAAAAAAAAATGATACGAAACAAAGTTTCTTCACAGACATGCACATGAAAGTATAGCTTGGTTTCTAAATGCAGGAAACTTAGTCAATTAGGTATAGCAAATTACTATAGATATATTGAAGATGAACTTTTACTGAAAATTAAAAAAAGAATTGTATTGTAGGTAAGGTTGATGACATGTTTGAAACATCACATTAGCATCAGTTATTGGCATTGTAATGATAGATTTACATACAACTGTCAGAAAAATTTCATTATAATTCGAAGCAGTAGCAAAAAAAAGAGCTAGTTCAATGGTTAATACGGTTTTCTACTGCGCTCAAATCGATTGCTAGAATGAAATAATCAAGAAAAAACCACCAGCATTGGTGGACAGAAAGGGAGTTCCAAAAATCTTTGATAACTCGGAACAAACTGTTGGAACTTGATTGGGAAGCTTTGATGCATCTACTGTACAGGCTAGACCTTTTGTTATCTGACTGTGATTTGTGTTTTAGGAAGAGATAATAAACAATATTTAAGAGTAAGTGACTAAATACTTAAAATTTTTGTGGGTTTGATTGGTAGTAGCACAGCTGTCTTTTGAAGTCGGTACTAGATTAAAATCGTCAGTCTATGTAAAAATTTTAATAGCAAAAGTTGACTGACCAAAGAGCCACTATGAATAATTTGGCCAAGTGTTTCGCCGGTAATATGTGCCAAAAACGATGGATACTATTTATATTACCTAATATATTGCATTTTTTAAACGTTTATGGTACTAAAAATACAAAGTGCGTTTTGCATACAGTTTTCGGGGAAAAAAAGTGTTTGCAAATGTTACGTTTAGTGGGGTTACCGTATTGCTAATAACACATCCAGAACTAAAGAGTTACTCTTTGTTTATTAGGTACTTGTATATAGATAACTTATAATTTCCGGATACAAATTTCATAAACTACTTTTACGATTTCTAGTATTAAATTCAATATCAACCTAATAATAGTAGAAGTATATATTACGAAGCAATTCTTTCAATAAATTTATTAAGGAGAAAATGATAAATTTTCATTAAAAATTTGTCAACCACAAAATGTTTTAAATCATTTTCCCACAGGATATACACTTATTTACCGGAATTTCTCAATTATTTTTAATTTTAATTAAATTCAAACATTTTTCTGACTAATTAATTTAACTAAATTATTAATGAGGCGTGATAATATTTACGGAATTTTCGTGTGATGTTCACTAACGAACCACAAATAGAAATATAAAAACACGCATTTTAATGTTTTAATTAAAACGTTAATTATTTCGTATGAAGCGACGATAGAAAGAAAGCCTACAATTGCATATGGATATGGATAGATATATCTATAAACAAATTTCTCGCAACAATAAATAATTTATTTTTAATTAGATTGACATTTGGAATTATTACTTAGGTTTCCATGTCAAAGGCATAAGCTATATAACATAACACCAAAACTCATTTACAACATAATTTTGTATATAAAACACAAATGGAATAATTTACCTAATTAAGTTATTATTATCATTATTGTGTAAAAATATAAAAAATTAAAAAAATATATATAGGTATATAGTTTTACAAAATTGCTCAGCAGATTTAAGCAGTTTGTATATTTTGTTGATGTTTTCATTACACCAAAGTTAAAAGATTTATGACATAAAACAAAAATTTAAGGCATAGAGAAATAAAATTTATTATATTTAGTAATTTTGCATTTACATATATTTAATTTCTTAATTGTCTTAATATCATAGATGATTGCAATAAAATTAAATTAATATTCATTTGTTTTCAGCTCGAAATACAACAGCAAAAATGTGTTCCTTCATTGGAAGAACAATACAGCACAGGAATTAATTAGTCAAAAAGTGAGTTAAAATTATAATAAAATGTATTGTTTACTTTCAAACTAATATACACATATTTTTAATATTAGTTACTTAATCTGTAAATATCTACCAAATAGTTAAAACGTTTATATTGTATTTGCGTCAATTTATTGATTTAGGAACGTCGAAGTAAATCATGAATATTTGCATTGTGTTAAGCACAAATCAAACACAAATGCAAATGATTGGCAATTAAATATATAAATAAATCTAGTATATAACAAAACACTCTATAACCTGTATTATAGACAAATAAGGACTGTAATCAAACTGTTCTCAAATATGTTGATGTTCAAACACAGCGAGCCGCCATATGTTTTAACCATACAAGTAGGCAAGCTGGGAGAAGAGTGGTTGGTAGCTTGAACCCTCCATTCGAAATGAATCAAAGGGATATATGTAAATATATATCTATTTAATATTAATGCAATATATAACGTAAATAAAAGTATAGACGATTCGAAACTTTATCTGTTCGAAAAGATTGAATATCTTCAGATATATATAAGAACTTGAAGTGTTCAGTCGAATAGTTCTAATTCGTTTTTAAAAAAATGTTTGTATTGTAGCACCTAATTTTAGTACTAACTAATTAATAACTTTATATTCAGTTAAGCTTTTAAAAATTCTTAGTGTCAAACCTTATTATTATGATGAACTTGTTGTAAGAGATAAATCCTTCTTTTTCAAGTCAAGCTTTTAATTTTCAAGACCGATATCAAAGGATAAATCTTCAGAATATTACAGAATTGATTTAAAATCATTATGTCCTTAGTATGATCTGTACGGTCTTTAAACTGAACTTACCAACTTAGTAGGTTAGGCTTTATAGACATATAGCTATAGACCTTCGAGCTGTCCAGGTACTCTGATGAGCAGTTTACTGTCGCCAGCTGGTAGTACCGAGAAATGACCTTAAAATCATTTATAATCTAGTGTTTCCAACAACAGATACCAAATCTAAGATTTTGCTGATAGGAGCATATTAATCGCATGACATAATGCGTATGACGGCATGTTAACTTTAATAAGAGACTACTTATATACGTATCTACTTAGTCCGAAATAGCATCTATTGACAATAGTGATTTATTTTGAATCTATAGGCTGATGTTTTTTTTGGTAAAGTCTGGCGTCTCAGATAATCAAAGTCTTTCAAAATTCAGTCACGGGTTTCAAGGAACTCAAGAGTTTTGTTTGTTGTTTTATCGTCTTCTCTTAATTTTAAGTAGCACAGATGAAGGTCTCATTTATTAATTGATTATGCGATTAATGTGTGAGTGCAGCTGTGAAAAGAAGTAAACTTTTTTGAAAGTATCCCAGCTGTAGTATTCATCATCTATATAATCGAAAATTAAAAATCAACTTTTAGTGAAATTGAGTACCTTTGTTTTGCTATTTATTCTAAAAAATAATGTTGTATGGTATTACATATATTCACCGATTTAAAAGTATAATTTTGTCCTTACACACCCATACATTATATGTCCTCTGTCATGCTATTCTATTGTGTTATTCATTATTATTAGTAAATTGCTGTACTTCACTAAATCGTATTGTGTTCAATCTTTTATATTCCGCTAAATATATTCGTTTTTATAACGTAGCATAACTGATAACAGAAAGTTAATTTTTTATCTTTCACACACCTCGAAAGTATCTGCCAGCTACGATCATAAATTATAGTGAAACTAATTTGGCTATACAATAAAGAAAAATCGGTAAGGAAGTGATTTACTAGTAATGACACAATAAACTATAAAGCTTTTATCCAGCGTGGAGAAAAGTAATTTTCCTTAAAGGCTTTCGAGGTGTCCTTTTAATGAACTTCATTAGGTTAAATCATTTTCATACATTTCACGGTGCTATAAGCACCGGGTGGAAAATGTGTCGGTGAGGTGCTATTCGACAAATCACTTCACAGCGTTGAGCGGACAGACAAAGAATTTCAATGCATGTGATCGGCTTATTGATAAATTATTATGCCTTTGTTCGTATTCCTAGTAGGCTTACTATATATTGTGTATTGCCATGGAATTTCCTGAATGAAACGAGATGCAAAGAAAACGGATTCACTATTTTTTCATTTTCATTTGCTAAGCAGAACAAACTACTTTGGGGATTGTGTGTGGGCGTAGAACTGTGACTGGCTAAGTTCAGTCCAAGGCTCTTTATTAATGTTTATCATTGTTTGTTCAAAATAATGGCATTCTCTATAAAAAGTAGATAAGACTTTATTATTTTAGTTTTTTATCTCGGTTTTCTTTGCCTGTAGTCTTTTATGCCTGCGACAATGAAAATGTGAAAGAAAAATACAACCATAAAAAGTGGCTTCAGAAACGTACGGAAAATAGTTTTTTGTGGTTGAGTAAGTGAAGATTTAGGTCAGTTGTGCCTGAAAAATGTTGGTTTGTGCGATTTAAGCTTTTTTCCTTGTTATCCACAATTTGGCTAACACTTTATTGTGTGTTGTTTTTGTAATTTGTGGTTTTAAGGCGTGACAAGTGTTTCTAATTTTTACATTTGGAAAAAATGTTGGGTTGCCTCTAAATGACAAACCTTGTGCGAAAATTGGTTTTAATCCAGTGTTTCTATGTCGATTCGCATGTCTGAAATGCTTACATGAGAACGGACTAAAATGTTTAAATGTCAAATTAGTTGGGCTTGCAGTTGTATTGAGTTAAGTCAAGTGTGCTTATATGCAAATTAAGTTCAGGAAATTTTTTTTGAAATTATAGGAGTGGTTAGGATTGAAAAATTAGGTAAAGGTTAAGAATGTAGGACAGCAATGACTTGGGTATACTAAACAATCAATTATTTAGCTTTGTTTCCATATATGAAGAAGTGAAGAAAACAATTTCTTCTTTTATTTTGTATTTTGCGCATCAAATTGACATTATTAATATATGAAATCACAGCCACTTCTTTTTGAAAATCATATATACTATGTAAATCTTTTGAGCTGTCTGATTTATTTATAATGCCATAAATACCGCATATGTCCAATGCTAGTTCAAACAGGCAAATCAATTTTTCGATGTTATTATTATTATTAATTAATAATAGATACTATACATTGAGATTCAGGTAGTCTATTGTGCTATATGGTGCTGTCACTCAGTCTCTCTGTTTCAATGCAAACTCTTTGCCTATTAGATAGTTATATGAAGTCATGCACAGTACCTGTTGGATTTTGATGCCACATTTCTTGGCATCGAAATTAAAAGAGTGTAGTCCATACGTTCCTTATATAAATCGAAAACGGAAAATATGTTTTTTGTTTTTGCTAAAAATACTGTACAGAACAAACTGTAGTTTCTAGGTGTCTGAATATGGATATTTAGTGTAGTATACAGTAATTTACAGATAAATGTGTTCAAAGAAATACCGACTACTTATCATATTTACCCGAGGAGTACAATTAACCCAGAGTTTTTATCGTTCATTTTAGATTAAAAATGTTCTTAAGTGGAAGACGTTTATGCGTCCACTATTGTATATCACTATTAAGTTTGGATTGACCATGCGGAATTACGCCATAGTTACCATAAAGCCTAGGATGATTTATTTACTGGGAAGGGAAACATTTATATATATACGGTATATCATTAGATCCCACTCAAATTTGGATTTAAATATTAATAGTTAATTATAAATTTTTTTAATATAAATAGAGTTTTTTGGTGTAGATTTTAGTGCAGTTGCTAAATAATCTATTTATTCCGCGAAATATTGTTATGAGAAGTATTACTTTAATTGTTAAGTAACTGAAATTTAATCAAATATCATCATCAACGCTTTAGTGATGGAATTTATTCTATTATATACTCATAAGTTTATGTTTCCTGATCCAAAAACTTTTGTTAGCAAATCTTCAATACGAGTATATATCCGTGAAGGGAACTTATGTTTTCACAAAGTCAAAGTTAACTTGTGTTTTTTATTATATATTATTATTATTTTTTATTCAAATATTTGAATATAAAATATACTAGTATGTAGCAACCCTTGACATATAATTTGAAATAATGTGCGAATCAAAAAACAAGATATTTTATATTTAATTTTTATTTTCAAATTCACGTACATGTTTATTTTGATATCAACTTTGAACGACTTTATCTGTCTATTCTGCAATACACTCGAGTATCTGCAAAACTGCACAAACGTGTTATTTCGGATGCAAAAAAGCGACAAGCCTTTGCCCAAGATTACAACTTTTAAGTGAACGGTTCTACGCGTAAATGTAAGTTTTAAAAGTAATATATTTATTAAGGTTGTTTATATATGTTCAAGTATGTAATTAATTTAATCTCTGAACGAGCGGGTTATGGTGTGCATTTTGCATAATAGCAAATACTGCAGATACTTATATGTGTACTTTGATATCATGTAACCGTTCGCAGCTCTAATTACTTTGCACTATTGTTTCATTTTATAATATTAAACTAATATTATTACTAAGGTTTCAAATTGTTTTTCGTATCTACTTTTAGCTTATTTCAATTTGTCTAATTATAAATTAGAAACTGCACCTGAGTTGATTGGAAAGTAGTCACACTATATAACATTCAGTGGCTTTCTCTAATGATGTTAGTATTTCGTCGTGCCTACTTATAACATTTTGCTTTAATGATTTGATGTTTTATTATTTCAGGTTTTACTTAGTCAGTTATTAGGTTATATATTTTTATACATCTTTCAGAGAATAAATAAGTAATACTCATGGTTAAAGTTCGTGTAAAAAAATGAAATTTTGTTGATAAATGTTGTGTATACTTATAGTCATTCATGTAAGTAACTGATTCTGTTCAACATTTTCTGTCCCATTCCATAACATTGTGGTGATCCTTGATATCTCTTATAATAAATAATTTACACATGAGTATATATAGAACTTTATAGATGCATATATATAAATGCATAGATAATTAGGCAGTTACACTATTACTAAAATAAATTGGTTTATATTCTATGATGAA